TTCTCAACCGAATGCACCCCAGACGTTACCTGGGAAACATTCACAAGTACGTTTAGCACACTGTGCACGCATCGGAACAGAAGTTCTTCCAATCCAAAAGCAACCATAAGTCATTTCTGAGGAGCAGAACACGTAGTATCCCTGAGGAATTTGGCATGGCGAGTTCACAAGGACTGCCCGAATGCCGAAACCTGGACTGCATACGTGACATATCGTAACTTCTGTGTGAAATTACTCCGCGAGGACAAGGCCACGCATCCGCAGTTAATGAAGCGATTCTGCACGAACCGCAAACTTCTGTACAAGCACATTAACGGCCTTCAAAATGTGAAGTGCGGGAAACCAGCACTGGTCACGGCTAATGAATGCACGCGGACAGCAATGGAAGCAGCCGATCCCATACAGCTTCAGTACTTCTAAACTTTCCAGCAGATACCCAACCCATTTATTATCCTCGTTTCTATTTCTCCACCGTCGGGTTTACATATCACCACTACGGAAGCTGTGATGAAGTTGTTATCCTTGCGTACCCATAGCAATTCTGCAGTCAACAACATTCGACCGAACGCTCTGCAGGCAGAAGCTAGTGATGTAGCAGTACCTCTAGCCGTTTTCTATCAGCGATGTCTAGAGGAAAACCATATTCCACCAATATGAAAGCGAGGGGTCATCACTACTATACATAAAGTAGCCATACTGACCCTACCAACTTTCTATACTATCCAAAGTTATGGAATTAATCATCGCAGATGCGTTAATGCAGTACCTGGAAAGCCACAACTTCATAGCCTCAGAGCAAGATAGCTTCCGTCAAAAACATCCATGTACTACTATCCTATTAATTGCACGTAATAGCTGGACTGTAGCCGTCTATGTCATTATACCTGGACTTCTCAAAAGGATTTGAATGCTTAGACCAGGGGCGTCCAAAGTCCGGTCTGTGAGCCAAATGCGGCCCGCGTTAACATTTCAACTGGCCCGCGGCCTCCTTTTAAAATACTAAATTCAGGCTTGGACGTTTTTCGTACATGTGTAATTTTTGTTACTTAACGTCAGACTGAATATGGCCTGACCTATTTTTACCTCACAAAATGTGGCCCTCCTTGCAAAAAGTTTGGACACCCCTGGCTTAGACCACCAAATTCTCCTTCACAAGCTTCGGAACAACGCATTCGCGACCCAATCGTGAGTTGAATGATCAATTTTCTACCCGAACGTGAGTCCGGGAATCTGTCTTATGCAACTGATGTGGAGTGTGGTATACCACAAGGTTCGGGTCTCGTCTACTTTTGGTGCCCATTAATGGTTTGGCAAGAACAAGTGTTTCCGATTTCCTATTTTTCGCGATTGATATCAAGATATGGCGAATAATCAGAGGACCGGACGACCACAAACGGCTCCAGTGCGATCTTGACACGGTGTCGAACTGGTCAGTCCAAAACGCCCTATCATGCAACGTAGACAAATGTCGCACTGCGCAATTACGTCACGTATTCGCTTGGGGCACACGAATTGCAGACCAGCTCCCAGGAACGTGACGTTGGTGTGCTCGTACAGTGACCTCAACAATCCAAAACAGGCTGAGGTAACTGCGAAAAGAGGCAACCAGCACGTCGGCATGCTGCGAAGGGCATTCGGGAGATTTGACCCATTAATCTCCCCAATGATGCACAATTCCTACGTGCGCCCACACGTTGAGTACGCTATTCAAGCTTGGCAACCTTGATTGAAGCCCCACAAAGAAGAGCAACAAAGAATGTAAAAGGCATGCGCTATCACTCTTACCAACGAAGACGGAAGTTGCTGGGTTTTCAGCGGACGCTACCGAAGGCTGCGCGGAGATCTCATAGTAAGGTACAAAATACCATGTATGCCGCCATTTGCTGAAACAGCCAAAGCACGCAGCTCAGGAGTAAGTGCTGCAAATTGAAGGAACAATATAGCCGTCTAGAGTGTCGACGAATTGCTTTTCCCTTCGGGTTTGCCAACCCTGGAACGCATTCCCAGACGCAGTTGTCCTTCCCTACTTTGGATATTTTCAAAAAACGACTAGGTTGCCCTTAGCTCCCAACATCTTGTTACCTAAATTACGCCAATCATGTCCTTCTACAGGATTTATGTGTCACGTGGACCCAAGAAGACGCATGAGTGATCATATTTTGCTTTTCTCACACATCAACGACCCCGTGGCGGAGGTGTACACTATCGGGCACGTACCCAGGTTGTGGAGCGCGGAATGCCTTCCTTGTGGAGGTAACTGTGAATAAGTCTCGTTTGCCTTGTAGACGAGATGAATAGGCAGTCGCGGATCATCAGCGACAGCGGCTCAGAGCATGGGGAGTTCTGGGCTGGTCACCTGGTTCTCCATCAAATACCACAAGAGCTCGTACGGCGCTGTGTCAAAGCCAATGTGTCCGACTATAGGGTCACTGACCACTCACTTCTGTAACCAGACGTCACTTAACGAAGGGCGGATGAACAAGCTTGTTGGCCACCGGCTTCTCTGTGGACTGCTACTGAACACAAAGAAGACGAACGAGCTACCCGGATGTCAATGGTCTCCGTTAATCGCCCCGCGGGTCAGGTCTTTATGACCAGTCTCGGGATGGGGTCCCTTAACTAAACCCTGTTCCTCGGCTTGGGCAACCGGGAAGATCTCTGCCCGCACAACACTGTAACCTTGTAAACCAAACCTTACCATCGTCTACCTGTTTTCCCTTTTTGTTGTTGTTGTTGTTAACTATGTGTTGTGGTACTGCCAATTACGTATTGGTCAGATGTTGAATAATGATATAATATACATCAACAACCACTGCACCCCGTGTATTTCTAGATTTATTTTACAATGACATTATTTATCAACGTATTCATCTCGGCAGATGACTCACATTTATTTTGATTTCATCGTATTCAGCCCAAACAACCTACGGGACCTATCAAACACTTGTTTTTATCCCGAAATAGACCGTTGTTCAGAATCAGATATCAAGATGGATTGCCGTTCCGATCTCACGATGGATCGGGTTTACCAATCAGATACGGTCCAGTTGTAGATGCGCGGAGGACTTCGACAACACGGAACAGCAGAAAACGACAAGAGCAAGAAAGAGTATCCTACAGAGGTACCGGAATCAGTCAACATAAGGCAGACCCTACCGGACGAGTGGAAAAGGGACCGCGGGCGACAACGGGAAGAAAGTCTGCTCCCGGAAGATCTCAAACGATATTGGAGGAGGCCAAGAATTCAGACAAAGACGCTGATTGTTATGCTCCAAGGAATGACTCCAAGCCGAGTGACGCCTGGGAGATCAAGCAAGTCGAGAGCCTTCGAACAAATCCAGGCTGGTCGGAAAGCGACGTACAGGAGCGGAGATACGAAGCAAAACAGGCGAAGCTGAGTTGCCGAATTGTAGCCAATTGGCGGGCGAAGGTGCCCGTCGACCGCATCGCATTTCTGGTGCGTTGTGGTGTAAAAATGTGACTATATGTGTGTGGGCGTGTGAAACGGATCGTGCTTTATTGCCCCATCGTTCTTGCTACACAGTGACAAGCTAATCATCATTGTGATAGCATCGGTTTCGAATGACGATTCCGTATAAGAAACAGCGGAGATAACGGACTTATCCGATTACGGAATTCACTTTTGCTGTCCACAGATAGGGATAGGCCAATGGCACACCTTTGCACATGGGTCAATTAGGTGTCGTTGATAACAGAAATGATAAGTACGGTATTGGGAGACTAAAAATTGTTGATTCAACGGGCTCTGATAGAAAACCAAGAGTAAACGTACGGGGAACACAACGGCTCGTCGACACGGAATAATTAATCCGACTGATAAGTGAACATGAGAACGTCAGCGATTTCTATCGTTTACACTATTAGTTTCATCTAAGGATTGACAGACTAAACTGGCTTCTCCACGGAAAAGAAAATTCCTAAATGGAGCGAATACCCCTATGCTGTCGGTGTTAGCAGTAGTTGTGTAGCACACATGTCGCCACTTCATAGCTGGGTAGAAACCAACTAAGTATCTGGTTGATAAGAATACAAACTAAACGGTAGCGCGAATTAAAGTTGCCACTGGAGATGACAAATCTATCCAGCTTACAGTCATTGTCTGTGGAAATAGATGGTTAAGAAGTTCCATAGACATCCGTGTCAGAAGTTGTGATAAGCACTGCCTGCCGCGATTCGACGGTTTAGAGATAGATGCTCGGCTGACAATCCGGGTTTTAATGCAGTCCCACCATGTTTACCTGATAAGCTCAAATTAGGTCGAAACTGGTCTTCGAGGGGGCAATACACATTAGAAAGATTACAACGCCGCCCTAACTGTAACACCCGAGACCGATCGAGACGACTGCATCCCTATACATGCTTATTCCAACTACTATTTGTGGATTTTTAAAATTACAGACGTGAAGTAGTGGTCACATTTGACATTATAGCCTTTTTCAAAGAAAAGTAACACTATCTCCGAGTGGGTGAGATTCGTTCTTTCAGAGGTATGAAAATCCATTCAAGATATTTGCTGATCACCTCTGTCAGAAACGAAAACCAGACACTGAACTTATCGGACTTGTTGGTAATGTACTGAAGAAAAAGACAGCGGGTTTTGGTGGTTCCCCAGATAGTCGCACGAACTATCGATCATCACATACTTTGTAACATAGTGTAAACGGTACCGAGTTTGCCGCGATATCCACACACTGGTCGTAGAATGCGCGGTCGGACAGCGCGTCCAACGAACGCATGGGTTATGATAATGAGACAAGCTATGTACCAGACTTACGAAGCGAATGGGGAAGCGAACACGACCAGTATCGGTGAATTCGTACAACGGTCACCAAAGCAGCAATACTATAGTCAGTGGTACCCGCTCATACACCAACTTATCCTTATGCAGGATGCCTATCTACATTGACCACGGGTGGGTTACGCAGCATCGTTCACACACGCTACGTATAGCGTGAACTAGAATCAAGAAGAAGATGGATGAGTTTCGAAACAGGCTCATAATTAATTCAATCTAGCCAATCCCGTTAGAAACACTACCTCGATAGAACACGGAGCAGTCGGCAATTGAAATAATCACGTTTATCAGGTAGATTGAAATCGTGGTGGCAATTGGAAAGCTGTTAAAATAACGTCTCTGAAGTTGTTTGAACTAACGGACAAGTTGAATTCGAGTTCAGATGATTCCGAGTCGACGAGGATAATCTAAACGCGCCACTGCATACCGAATTGTTGCAGGTAGTCTGTTGGATTGTGTAAAACGGTGAGTCGCATGCGGAGGATAGTACGACGATTACTTGACTGATCGTCTCAACCAACTTCGTGTAAGCTATGAAGGCTAATCAGTTCGCATGGCTTCGCGGACCCTAACATGACACAGATCATTCATGTATTTATGCCTAGTGTTTCCCTTTAGTGGTCACGTTAACTGACTGACCAATAGTGCTATCTCCACAAAACATCAATCGCTTCTGATACGAATTTCAAGAATCCACAGCACAAGGACTTGATCCTTGGCTATGCAGATAAAATCATAAGAATGCATCAGCGGTACAAAAATTCGGTAGCTGTAGATCTAAAGTCCAAAACAGGCGGCGACCAACGCATTAATCTACTCGATTAATTAACGGACCGGTGAAGAAGTGAATCACGTTAGAATCAATTCGTTCAACCACAAAAACGTACGGAAGTAGGCAAATGACTCGGCGATGGTGCGTGATTGGTCACCATGACAACCAATGGACACGGGAATCAAAAAGATAAAACAATTCCTTGAAAGCTTCACCTTTAGAAAATTAGCAAATTGCTTGGTGAAGGAAGAGATAAAGCGACGGTAGAAACCGATCAACAGTAGGCAGGAAGAGCAAAGAGAAGGATTATAGGGGCACCTGGAGAATCAGCGTCATACGCACGGACAAACCAGATGAAAGGATGGTAGCAACGAGTCAGTGTTTGACGATAATAACTGGGCGGGTGAATTGGTTAAATTTAACCGACGGCAAAAGTGTGTTAACACAAAGGTTACGCTCGAATGCACGCGAGAGTACAGACGGTTCCGGTGAGCAAGGCCGGTTGTCTGGAGAGAATGAGGACAACGACGACCACGGTGGCGTTGGCAATAGCAACAGAGAAACCAAACACAGGATCGATGAGAAGTGTGTGCGTGCATCAAAGAGAGAATGATCGCAGGCTGGAGCAGAACCTGGTGAACGAACATCATTCGCCGCACAACGGCGGAAAAGGGAGCATCACAGAGCTAAGAGAACGATGAATGAAAACGGGGAATAATTGTTACACAGAAAAAGTTGACAATAGTAAGAGTCGCGTCAGTTGGGAGGAAGAGTTGCCGATAACTCACCATCCGAGTGGGAGAAAAGACAAAATTATCAAGACGTGGTTGAGATCATCCCCCATACAAGACACGGAGCTGGTGATTGGTCTGACAAAATGAGTACACTGAGGTGAAGTTATATGACGACAGCGTCCGGGGAAAACCACTATCAAAAAGAGAATTGGCTACTATTCGGATGAGCCGGTTCGAGATGGCCGTGTATGTGTGCAGAGGGCAATATAACCTTTGGAGCAGAATTCCTAATAGCCAAAAGGACAGCATGTCGCCCAAGTGTGCGACAAACGTTCATAAAAATGGAATAAGTGAGGTAATATGTGTGCACAGGTAGAAAGTATAGAGAGAAGACGATTGTGGCACGCGACATAACTATGACGCTTCGTGTATGTGTGTGATAGAAATGGTAATCAGGATAGGTCGGAGAGATAAATACTGCGATCAACTTGTATGCAAGCATATGTACACAGCACAAAACGCTAAAAGAGAGGAGGGAGAGGGACACACAGTTGGTCGATCAAGAGTGGGGAGGGTGAAGATGATGAGCCTCCTCACACATGCGAGAGAAAAAAGACGCAGATAACCAGGGTGGTCTCACAGTGGAGTGACACAGAAGTTATCGAGAGCTGACGCAGTGGGAAAGGAGGACCAGTATACTTGGACTGCGACACTGCGGCGACACATTACAAGGGCACGTAAACAGACGGAACGTGGTAAGGAGGAAAGTGCTAGCTTGAAGACGGATTTGTTGACTCAGGCACTGCGGTCGAGTTTACGTCGCCAGCCGTAACAGGCTGCGATGAGCGATGAGAAGAATTAGAAAGCTGGGATTCGACCCGGTTCCCATAACTGTGTGCTCCATTGTCCAAAGTATCGTCTTTATCACCGGACTTCTTTTGATGACTAGAGTTGGTTGCGTGTGGCCTTGATTTGCTGGACACATCACGATTACTACTGGAACTACAATTCCCGACTGAGGGGAAACTCGTGGTAGTTTCGATTGCTGGAGGATCGGAAGCTATGTTGTTCGGCTTGGTTAGGTTGGTAGACCCAGACGGTCGACCTATAAAAAGGGGGTAAAAGAAGGTCGGTAATAATGCTCCGAAAGAAAGTTTACATAGGTCGTTACTTGAAGCCTAACACTATCTGACCGACGAGTAAACGTGTTAGCTGGCAATGTAGTAACAAAAAGATGACGGGAAAATCAGACATCAGAAAGTTAATAAACGGAGTAGAGACGGATCGAGATGACCAAAACGGAAACATCCGGATTGTACTAGTCGGATAAAATAACAGGAATAGAACAAACAAAGTGCGTACATGTAAAGTGGCAGCGATCGGGAGTGGGTTCTTGGCACTTGCGGAAAAACCGATTTGGACGCATAGGGGAAGAGGGAGACAACTCAAGAAACGGAGGCATAGGTACCATGTGTGGCAGTTTTCATACCGCACACAACATGAATAAAAGACGGGGGAAGGGAGTCAAACGGAAAATCTCGAATGCTCTCGGACCAAGGCATCCACATACAATCAGTACAAAACGAACAGGTTGTTGGTCACCAAACGAAGATAAGGTGACAGCGAAAGACAGCTTCCTTGAAAATTATACTATCACGAGTCACAATCAACCTTACTCTACATATAGCTCAGCGTCAAACAACCTTAAACAGACTAGCTGGCTACGGGACTACACCAAACGCGCCCGCAGTGCCAGTCGCGGGTCAGTCTCCGCAATATCCTGAGCTAAGTACGGTATGAGTTCTAGGGAGCCTAGAGTTGTAGGACCGACGTTAGCCAATTTGGAGATCAGAGAAGGGAATACCGTGGTGGCTTAGTTAAGGCGTTCGGCTTGCAACATCCGCGTCCTTGGTTCGAATCCCCATCGCGGTTTTCAAACCCGCGTGAGACCGATTGCGGCAGCATGGAAGTGAATTATCAGTACGCAGTAGGATGTATGGTGCTGAGATGTTGGATCGTCTTCCGAATTGGGCAATTAGCTTGCAGATGGCCCATCGCCAATCGAGGTTACATCTAAGTGCGTGTCAGTATTCGCCTCGTCGGGTAAATTCGAGTATACTGCTGATACCGCTAATCAGGAAAGTGAGCCCTGTTGACAGGTCAGAGGTCGTCCCTTAGAGAAGGATGCTATTCAACATTGGGTAATGACAAGACGTCAACAGTATGCTGGTAAGCAGTAACGACGCTTCGCTGCCGCTCAACCACCAACAGTCGCACGTAGGATAAGGATACTGCGAGGGTCGTCCGGTACCTACGCAGGCTTGTGATCCTTAAGGTTACGTGCTGGCTGATAAACGAAAAATTAGCATACGTAACAAGCACCCTAACTTACAGTCCTATTTGTTGACTTAACCAACTAAGCTAATCACCATCAACCAGTACCCGTCTATGCATCTTGTCGATGCAGACACACTGGTGTTATGCGACATGAGCAACGATAATCGGAAGCACACAGGCGTCTGAAATTACTAAATCGAAGAGTCTATCACATTGCTGTAGAGGTCCGGTGCAACCGAGCTGTGCACCGCCGAATGCTTCCACATGCTGAGGAGAGGGAAACGTCTTCCTTGTAGAGATGATTGGAAACAAGTGCGGACAATCAGCAACAGTGCCCAGGAGCTATCTTCAGTGCATGGAAGCTGACACAGACCAGGAACCCCGTTGAGAACTGCTTACAGCACTAGCAGGATGTTACGACATGTTTCGTCGTCTGCAAGTTCCGGTGACACTTCCACATTGGGCCTTACAAAAGATGCGAGAGCCGAAGAAGCTGGTCAAGTCGATGTGGACGTTGTGTTGAACACACAAACAGCGCTGCTAGACTGGATACTCGTTAACACGCAACTGCGCAATTCGACAAGAATGTTCAGTTCGATCGTAAAGCTATGTGATCAGCAAGGATTGCAACCGGATTAAGCTAAGAATGAGTCAACATTTTCCGAACAAAACACAGGAAGTTCACTTCTAGACTCCAGCAGGTATATCGACTTCCCGGAGATGCAGTGCACCGTACAGTGAAAATTGGCAGTACCGTATGCAAAAGTTCCTGCGTCATGTGTGACAGTAGAAACTCACTCCAATGAAATTCTATTACTTCATAGGGGGATCATCATCATCATCATTGTAACACGTTAGCTGGAGGTGAAAAACACCTCAGCTATTGTGCCACAACACAAAAGACAAGAAAAGGAAAACAAACAGTGGCACGCCCGCTGAGTCCCTAGTAACGGATGGAAATCATTACGCGTTACTAGTTCAGATATTATAGTACTTGCAGGTGATATGAATGCACAAGTAGGGCGTCTGAGCTCTTCTGAAGCTCAGCTGGGTGGTAATTATGGGCTTAACTCCGAACGGACTGACAACGGTGAGTGTCTGCTGCAACTGTGTGCGGAGCGCCAGTTGTTTCATAGTAGCACTGCTGTTAGACACAGTGGGCGCCGAAGTGCCACTTGGCGTCCACCTGTAGCTGGAGCCAAATTGACCACCTTGCAATAAGTTACAGATGGCGTGGTTCCATCCTGGATTGCCGATTATACTAGAGTACCTGTGTCGACTCTGACCATGCCTTGGTACGCTGTCGTTTCTCCATGCACTTTACCGGGAGGCGCACTAAGCGTCCCCTACGATTGGCAACTGAGAAATTGTCTCAGCCTTCGGTCAGGTAAGCCTATCAAAATGCACTGCGTACCGAACTTTCGCTGTCTTGTCCTAATGACACCGAGCTTCAGTGGAATAGGATCTCGGCCGCCATGCGCGACGCAGGAGCATCTGCTTGTGGCACTATCCATCGTCACCGCACCAGTCACTGGATATCCGAGAGGTCGGTGAATCTGTTGGAATCTAGAAGGCACCTCCCGCCTAGCTCTGAACACAATGTGACCAGAAGGGCTATTAGGCGTGAACTAAGGCAGAGCCTACGTGCTGACAAGGACGCCTGGTGGACCAGTAGGGCCCAAGAAATGGGGGAGGCAGGAGCAATAGGCAATTACCGGAAGCTCTTCCAGCTAATCCGCATCTTCGTACCCAGAAAACCAGGCGTCAATGAGACAATCGGAGACAGCGCGGGTGCACTGATACACAATAAGAAGCGCCGTATGGCTCGTTGGGCTGAACACTTTCAAGATCAGTTCAGCTGGCCCCCTGCTTTTGGACCTCTTCCATACATTCACTCTGCGGCAGGTGCTAGAGTAGCGCCACGCGTACCGCAGACCGACAACAGCTGTGTTCCTGGATTTCAAGAGTGCTTTCGATTCAGAAGATCGGTGCATTCTGTTTGAACTACCTGCGCGGAAAGGTGTTTCCATAAAATATGCGAACATCTTACATGACCTATACTCAAACAATACAGACCGAGTCAGGATCTACGGTGATTAGTCGGATAGCTTTTCGACAACAAGTGGCGTTTGTTAGGGTTGTCCGATTTCCCCGTTTTTGTTCAATTTCGTTGTGAACTCTATCATGGAGTGTTCGCTTGCGGAAGTTCAAGATCGAGGTCCTGTCTGGTGAAAGATTAGTTAATCTTGATTATGCGGACGATATCATCTTGCTTTTTAACGATGTTGGGCAGTCCCAATCAAACCTGAATAGCCACTCTGGAATAGTCCCATTATTAGGTATACGCTTCGCACCTACAAAGTGCAAAGCGTTGCCGCTGGACCAGCAGCCAACTGATGACTCGACCCTTGATAACGAGGAACTCGAGGTGGTTGATCGATTCACCCACCTTGGCAACCGTATCCGCAACGATGGACGCATAGCAACGGAAGGCATTTCACGTACTGCAAAAGCCGGAAGTACCTTCCTGAAGCTGCGACATCTTTGGCGTCAAACAGGGGTTTACTTCCGTCAGAAAAGCCCTATTTACAAGGTCGCTGTGAGGGCCATCATACTTTATTGAAGTAAAACATGGCCCTTTCGACAGGAAGTTCTGAGGCGCCTTCAAGTCTTTGATCATTGCTGTCTGCGGAGCATTGCTGGTGTCGGGTGGCACCAGCGTGTCCGCAACGACGATGTGCGTAGGCGAGTATTAGGTAGTGATAACCATGCTAGTACCTTAGAACGACAGATAGCACTGAATAAGTTGTGTTTGCTTGGGCACTTACTACGTATGCCCGATCACCGCTTACCGAGGAGAGCCTCGTTCAGTCTGCCAGATGTAGACAATAAAAAATGATAATATGTCAGCTGTACGCCGTAACGGTGCTTCGCTGCCGCGCAACCATCGCGCGAGCTGAATATATCGCGAAGACACCCACTCCTACGAGGATTGGAATTGATGAGCACATGGTTGCAAACCAGGCGAGCAGACCACTCGGCCACCGACCGACCTGCCAAATGTATGGTTGCGCAAGGCTCGTGGTGGACAAACATTTACTTGGCAGCGGGAAACGAAGTCGTTGACGACTAAACTGGGTTCCCTCGGTCCGTCTCGCCTTCCAAGTCGGTATCCACGTGACTCGCCTTGTGCTTGCCTCGAGACTTTACAGGATATGGTTCGCAGTAGGCATTAGTGGCGCGTCTGTTGCTGTCTCCTAGTCAGACTGCCTGTTTAAAGTGTGTTTGTGTTGAGTTATCTGCGGGCTAATGGCTGATTATGACACGGGACAATGAAAGCCGCAAGGAAGCTGTCTCGCTAATGCCGCCTTATCTTTGCACGATAAGCAGCTTTTTGTGACGGTATATTGTCTACACAAGGTGTAGGCGCCTTGACTCTGAATGGTCGCTTAGAGCTTTAAGGTAAGCCCCCTCCTCTCCTTGTGATTCTTTATTCCATAGGTCAACATGGTTGTATGGCAGCGAATCATCAGTTCAAGTGGCTGATGTACTGCTGTTGTTGATTTATTGGCTAGTAGCTAGAAAAATCCAAATGGCCACTGCGTCTGAAGAGAGGGTAGCTGATTGATGCGCAGCTGCAATAAATACTCACCAATAATTATGCGCCAGAGTCGAACAGGCCACAAACCGGAATTTTGACAGTCTTGGATAACCTAACAGCACTCTCGTACCACATCAGCCATAATTATACCTGAGCTGGTAGCATCGTGCAGTAGCTTCTAACTTGACATGGGCAACACTAGACGACAATAGGTTAGGATGTAGGCGTCAACCACCTACGAGAAGCATCCACTTGCTGGCCCTGTAGTTGACAATGACCACGGCAACATACAGTCGGAGTCGAAAGAACCAATTAAGATGCAACCTCGCATCTGAGAACGATGTCCACTCCAGAAGTTCCGGGGGCGTGCAACCCCAGCGAGATGGCAGGATAAATACGGTGGTGCATTAAGTTATGAAGAAGAAGACTACCCAGTGTACGTGTAAGTGCAATCTGTTGGTGTCTCTGTCATACATTACGGATGCTAACAGAAAGCAAGGAAATAGGATAGCGATGTTCCTTATGGTGGTAGATAATCGGTAGTCAAGGCGGAGCGGCAAGTGGCAGAGGTCAGGAGCTGTCATCAAATCATATGTGGAAGACAAAGGAGCAGCGGTAGACTTGTAAGCTCTGCTGTGCGTGGCAGATAAGGCAACCCTTCCGAAAATGCGTGACGAACGATATATGACAAAGGCACCGTCATTGCCATATGTGAGCCGGAATATTGCCATGGCGTCTAAGCCTAGACGATCAAGGGTTCGCAAAAGCATAATCGCAAGGCAGAGAGGATATAACTACAGTACATTTTCACAGAAATGGGTGCTGCTCTAATCTGGAGGATCATGACACTGGCTGTGTCTGACCTCTAACAAATGATCAATCTGCGGGGATTAGCCCCCGGGACGAGTAAAAGTAATACGGAGAATAGTCTAATGGATCGGGGACACAAACGCTCATCACCACTTAAAAGTTCAGTCTTGCGGTGACAGTGAGATAGAAAATTATAGAAAAAAAGTAATGATGGTAGAGAACAGATGATATTGTTTATCTCCACTGCAATTAACCGTGGGACAACAAGTTCTACTTGCAAGATAGCCACTCCGGGTGTTGAGAGGGAATGAAAGGTAAAACAGACAAACGAATTCAAACAAGCTGACCAAAAACCCATGGATCTTGCGCACAGCACACCTAAGAGTAGCCCAATATTGTGAGAGCTTAAATAGGCTCCCACAACAGACGACTCGGGACAAAGCAAGCAAACAAAGTCAGAGGACACATTTAAACATGCGAGGAGGTAATCAGCGGGAAAACAAATAACAACGGAGACAAATGGCCGTGGAATAGTTTCCCACACAATGACTTGGTGGACTGAAGAGGTGAACAAAAGTGATATGAAGAAGCAACCAGGATTACCATTCTGAATCGTGCTCCAAAGAGAAGCGAAAAATTGAACCCACGGAGGGGTGAAGAAAGTGGTTTGGAATTTTAAAGGACGAGAGAAAAGCCGATAATCGTTTAAAAGTGGCTCATGTCCCTCCAGGAATGGGAATGACGTCACATTTTAAGCGAGAACCGGATAACCAACGTTTGAAGAGACTGAGTACTAGATTCTATGAACATTAGATTGAATAATCGTATATGGGAACGCTTGAAAGAATACACAAAACAGAAGAATTCAAAAAGAAAACGACGAGTGTACCTTACCCTTCTTGGACCAATCAGCAGAGGGCTTGTTATTTCCAACTTTCTGTTGATCAGACACATTGCTTTTGTCGCTAGCTTTTCTACTAACTGCGCTGTGCAAATGCGACGAATCGGTAGGTGGAAAACAATTGGAATTGTTTAAAGTCTCTGAGTTAGAAGGAGCTTCTGGTGCAACTGTTGTTGGAGGTCGAGGTTCTGCATTGGGTTCGAACAGATGAGGTGGAAGCCAAGCGTGGCCGGAGGAGAATTTGTCCCCATTGAGTTCACGTAATACGTTGAAGCAAGGTTCGGATAAGGCGTCCGACGGGGAGATACGCAAGGCAGGATTGTACACCAACATCTTGCTCATGAGAGCTAGCAGATCGGGAGGAGTGTACTGGGGGAAAAATAGCTTTACGGGACAAGGCTGTACATCGGGAAAATTGTACGATACATACAAAGGATTCATGCTAGCGATATCCTCGCTTGAAGGTGTGCCAAGAACCCGAATCACCTTCACCAACTGATCCACTGAGTCAGCGCCCATAAAAAGGCAATGCTGTCGGAGCATTTCAGCAAGAACGCAGCCGGCGCTCCAAGTGTCGATGGCGCAAGTGTATGCCTGAGCGCCAAACAGGAGTTCGGGAGCACGGTAGTACCTGGAAACGAATGAGGGGGAAAAGGTTAAAGTCAAGTTGGAGAAAAATTAATGTGAGGACAGAATGTATTATTGATTAGAATCGCTTTCAATAACGAGCCTCATATGTAAAACTGTTGCACATGGTTGCGCACGACAGAAATCCGAAACCGATGTAGCGGGTCGGGGGCAAAGGTGTTTTAACGTAATGAAGCGGGAAGAAGGAGAATGTGTCAGCTGTACGCCGTAACGGCGCTTCGATGCCGCGCGATCACCACCAGTCGCGCGCGGGCTGTATACAGCGAGGACGCCCACCCCTACGCGGATTCGAACCGGTGACCTTATGATTGCAAACCAGGTGCGCAGACCACTCGACCACTGGCCAACAATGAAACGGGGTAAACTGAATAATGAGAACAGATAGCGAGAAGATAAAAATCTGTGTTGCTCCATCGTAGGTGGATTGGGCATATGCGCGAAATCACATAGCTGATTCCTGTGCGGTGGCAGCATAATGCAGCCGCATTATGCCTTATCCCTATACCTGTAGTCCACAAAGTGAGTGTAAAGGAATCCCTTAAATTCCCGACACCGATTTCGCCTCGACTAGCGTCGCCGGCAATTTGTTCCAATATTTCACTACTCGACGCTCGAAGCATAAAGGGTGAGTGACGCGCTTTAAATCCGGTACCACTGGTTTGTATCGGTGTCCGCGTGTGTTGCTTGCTGCGCGAACCTGCAGCAGCGGCTTTAACATAGGGAAGTGGCCCTGGTACAGTATCCGGTACGTCCTAATGAGATCAACTCGAAGCCGACGATATGACAGGGTATAAAGTCCCAGTCGCCTATATCGGTCCTCGTACGACATATCCCGTAAACTGGGGATAAGCCGGGTAGCTACATGCTGGACCTGTTCCAGTCTCTGCACCTCACCTATTGTGCTCGGGCAATAGGCGAGTGAGCTGTACTCAAGCACCGGTCTTATTATGGAAGTGAACAGACGGGTGGGAATTTCTTCAGATCAAGTGTAGAAGCTGCGTTTAAGTGCCCAAAGCAGGCGTAGTGCGTTTGCGTACAGTCTGCTCGTGTTGTCGACAGACTTCAGATCACAGCGTGAGAGAACGCCTAGATCCTTTACGGAACTGGTAGGATGCAGCAGGTGGCCGGCCAGGGTGTACGCACGCCCATTACTACCCCAAACGTGATCAAATAGAAGGCCCAGTAAACATTTGTTTAAGATCGTCACCGAGTTATTAGGAAGCGCTATGACGTCGAAACAGATTGCGTTGCTCCGCGTTGGACTGCACAGATGAGTAGAAGTGGGGGGGGGGGGAAGAAAAAACGAATATATATCATAGTGTGGAAAGATGAGAACGAGACCCCAGAAAAAAGGATAGTTGTGGCTAAACGCTAAATAAAAGTCAGTGGAGAAAAATAAAATCGATGACGGCCTGAACGGATGGAATATTCTACATGCAGAACACTTGAATATGAGACGCAGGAGAACCGATTACGGGAGGGGAAGGTACTTAATGTGTGCCAGCAGAATCGCATGCTGAAAATAGAGTAGAGACCAAAACTGCGAAATGGCCAGCCAATGGCAGTTCTTAGATGCTGTGCGCTACAGTCCACTGTTCAGACCGAAAGTATAAAGAAAACAGAAAATAACTCATATCCAAAGGCGCAAAATCCGGTACAAGAGCTGACTAGATGACCGTTCACTCAGGATGCAACCAGAAGACACGAATCGTTAGGGTCGCTTCAAAGAAGCGGATAACTACTAAGTCATTCATTTGCAGTCTGAGCTCACATACCACATTGCAAAAGTATCACGACGAAATGACCCACCAACAGCCACTGATGAGCCAAATGCTAAAAATGCTTTTGAAGCCGGATGTAGGCAAACTTTAAACGTCCGGATTGTAGGTGGATATCTGAGGAAGCGGTCCGTTTGGTCGAAACATGCAAACAGTTTCCGTTGAGTAGTGTGTTTCGAGGTGTCCGCAACACCTCGAAATGACGATTGGCAAGGAGTTTTAGTAATGAACGGAAATGGCTGTGGCAATGGCCCATGGGGTGCTGTTAGAAACAGTCGAGTACTGTTCCAGCTCATCCGGAACACGATTCCAAGAAAATCCTCAGTTGATGAGAATAATTGACATAGATGGATAATTGATGCATTTTCAGCCGCGTCGACTAGTTTCGTTAGGAGAAACATTCTAGAGATCAGATCAGCAGGCCCTCTTAAGCATTGCTTACTGCTGAATCACTTGAGCTAGTGGGCAGATGATTTCACACATACCCCTTTAGATGTTCGACATGAACTCGCTGTGCTGAAACGAAACGAGACTACGGGACCCGGCGAGCTTCCTCCGTCTGCTGAATATACAAATCAAGTCTATGGATGGACACGAAGCCATCAAAACCATAGAAAACAATGTAAGGTCGTTATCGTTAGAAGAAATGGAGACACAGTACAGCAATCTGCGGTTTTGCCAGAAGGCATCAGCACCGTACACCGTAGGCTTTGCTGCCACGTAACCACTACCGGTCGCGCGTGGGCTAAGGATACTGCAAGGGTCGCTCGGTCACCTATGCAGGTTCGAAGCAACGACCTCGGGATGGCAAGGCAGATGCCTTATTCTTTCAGCTACTGACTGGCTGTTTTGACGAGATACTACCTAGTTTCCCAGGCCGAAACAGAGGTTGCCGTAGGGAAGATCAACTTTAGCCTTTGGTTAATGATCAACTCGCAAGGTAGTGGAGCGAAACCAAGGAATCGCATCCAATGGGAGCCGGTAACCAATAGTTCAGTTCATACGGCTTTCATTTGGTCGGTTGGCAAACAGGGGCTTAGTTCTCCAAGCAACTCTAACAGCAAGCTACTGGAATACAATGTTCCACTATGGCGAAGCAATGGGTAGTGACCTTACTTAGTGTCGAATCACAGCCACCACGTGATAGTGGTGTGCTTTTGATAGGGAGAACGCTTGCCAAGCAAAGACGCACCACGTTTTGAAACATTGCGGCGAACCATTCGCTGGGAAGGGAAAATACCAAACCACCCATGCGGCACCACGATATCATTCGGGGGGCTAGCCGAACAACCTCCTCGTGGTGCCAGTCGGGTGGTACGGGTTTAGCCCGTTCCAGCAAATAGTTCGGCGGCAGTGTTCCAGGATGTGGTGAGTTTTCGGCTGGCAAGCGTTCTCCCTATAAAAAGCCCCAAATGTCTGCTTAACAACACTGTGACATGGCGGTCGTGACTCGCCACAAAATAAAGTCACTGCTCCGTGGATATCCTGATAATCTTTCTAACGCACAGACACCAACTGGCATATTGCTGACGATATCAAAGATCCAAGAATAGAGCAGCACAATTACAAGCACAAACAACACAACTACTTACATGGTCGGCGGCATCCGGTTTCGGATTTGCCTGTCACTGTGGCAAGCCACAGGACGCCTGCGCCCACAGAGGGACCATGGATGGCTTGCGCTGCACCACCCACAGCTCCAACAACACACCTCATATCCAGTGTAAACCCGAAGGAATAAGACCGGGAGGCATGCGGATGGGAACCACGTTTCATCAACGGAGCCGGCCCACACTCCTTCACAGGCAAACACAAGCACACTGTATTTGGGGATCAAGCGCACACAAGGCGGTGGCTGGACCGTAGTCCGCTACACACTGACTGCATGGAACCACTCTTGCAGAATTTGCTAAAGGAAGTACTACTTCGTTGCACATTAAATGTTCAGTTCATTTTCAATAATGAAATGTACCGTCAGATTGACGGAGTGGCCGTGGGATCTGCATTGGGGCCGCTGCTGGCGGATAGTTTCATGGCAAAATTAAAACATGGCCCACTTACAACGCACATCGGTGGAACCGAAATGTACGTGTGGTATGTTGAGGACACCTTCGTACTTTGCAAATCCGAAAAGCATGCGGAACAATTGCTAAAAGCTTTTAATGACGCACACGAGAATCTCTACTTCACCTGTGAACATGAATTCAGAAACCGGTTATTTCCTGGATCTAGACGTTATCCTTAACTCGGACGGACCATGTAGCAGAACGGTACACAGAAAACACACATGGACTGCGCAGTACACTAACTTCTACAGCGCAGTACCTCTACAGCATAAGAGGAGTTTAATCAGATCTCTCGCCTTCAGGGCGCGCAGTATTTGTACACCGGATACCGTCAACGAAGTACTACAGAGAATCAGCGACGCCCTCAGGAAAAATGGTTATCCTGATAAATTTATCATGAAACATCTGAAGGAACGCAATTGGAAGCCACTTAGGAGCATTGCTCCTAAGAAAGAGCTTTTTATACATATGCCATTTAAGGGTGATTCTGCAGCTGATATGTTATCTCGACACTTGAAAGATGCTGTTAAGAAAACGTATTTCGCGGCTCGCCTGAGAATGCTTTATCACAACCAGCCGTTGCTTACAAAACCCTTGAAAGATAGACTACCGTCGTTGACCCATTCAATGATCGTTTATCAGTACTCGTGCTCCTGTGGTGCACGACCCGTGGGTCGCACTACGAGGCGCTTATCTCACAGGATTCGTGAGCACATCCCGGCATGGTTTTACAAAGACGAAATGGGTCCTAAGACAGCTCGATCATATCGCTCCTCCTTAATTGTGGCCATACAGCTTCCGAGAATGACTTCAAAGTCATCTACTCACTATCTGAACACTTATCCCAAGGATTCCGCAAGCAGCTCTTATCCATCGCCGAGGCTATCTGCATCCACCATCTGAAGCCGGAATTATGTGCACAAAAAACGATTCCTACGGCCGATACTACTACCTTGGCCGATTGACACCGCTTCTTAGTTATTTGATTGTTACCTTACCGACTTAGTTACTTTGGGCTACTAAGCTTTGTGCACGCGTGTTTATTTTGTGCACTTGGTTTACCATTCCTGGCTCAAGTTATCGATTATGATCGTTCAAACAGCCCAGAAGTTAATCACAGCCGGAGTTGACGCATTAAA